TGAAGTAAAGGAGGTGAACAGAAGAATTCAAAGGGCAGCTGGAGACGACAAAGTAAAGTACTCTTATGAAATATGCAAAGACCTGGAGTTAGAAAACCAAAAGGGAAGAACACGCTTAGCATTTCTCAAACTAAAAGAACTGAAGAAAAAAAAAATTAGCCTCGAAGTACAATATTGAAGGATTCTGTGGGCAACATGTTGAACACAAGAACACGCAGGGAAGACGGAAGGAACGCAGTCACGGCACCGAGAAGAACCGGCTGAGGCCCAGCCACTTCAGAGGCAGCCTATGGTCAAGAACCAAAGGTGTCAGGGATTGAACTGGGTCCCCCCAAGATGTGTGCCAACTCGGCTGGGCCATTATTCTCAGTGGTTTAGAGGTTATATAACAACATAATGTGGCAGATATGTAATGATACCCCATGAGATGAGCTGATGTGATAAGCCAATCAGGTGTGAAACAGTTAAGATTAAGGGTGAGTTGCAACACCCTTAGTCCCACCAAAGCCCTGATCTGATGTAAGATGTAAGGAGGGCTTCCCTGGAGCGTGGCCTGCAACACCTTTCATCTCACAAGAGACAAAGAGAGAGAGAGAGGCAGCAGAGAAGGCCAACCTACTACCACCAAGAAAGAGAAGCCAGGAGTGGAGTGTGTTCCTTGGGCCCAGAGTCCCAACACTGGGACCCTCCAAGGAATAAGAGACGAAGAGAGAGGGTCTTCCCCCATAGCTGGCACTCTGAATGCAGCCTTGTAGCCTCCTGAACTGGAAGAGAGTAAATTTGTTTGTGAAAGCCATCCACTTGTGATATTTCTGTTACGGCAGCACTAGAGAACTGAGACCGATGGTACTGAAGGAAGAATTCCAAGCTGCACTGAAGGCCACGGTGAGAAAGAAGGAATGGACTGAATACCAGCTGAGATGTTCAGCAAACAGATGCAATGCTCTAACCACTCGCCTGGGTATTCCAAGAAATTTGGACCACCGCTACCTGGCCAACCAACTGGAAGAGATCCATATTTGTGTCCATTCCAAAGAAAGGATCCCACCAAACGCAGACATTATCACACAATATCAATAATATAACACACAAGTAAAATTTTGCTGAAGATAATTCAAAAATGGTTGCAGCAGTATATCAACAGGGAAATGCCAGAAATTCAAGCTGGATGCAGAAGAGGATGTGGAACAAGGAATATCATTGCTGATGTCAAATGGATCTTGGCTGAAAACACAGATTACCAGAAAGATGTTTATCTGTGTTTTATCGGCTATGCAAAGACATTTGACTGTGTGGATCATTACAAATTATAGATAATATTGCCATGAATGACAATTTCAGAACACTTCATTGTGCCCATGTAGGACCTGTACATAGACCAAGAGGCAGTTGTTTGAACAGAACAAAGGGCTACCACGTAGTTTAAAATCAGGAAAGCTGTGTGTCAGAGTTGTATCCTTTCACCATACTTATTCAATCTGTATGCTGAGCAAATAATTTGAGAAGCTGGACTATATGAAGAAGAATGTGGCATCAGGATTGGAGGGAGACTCATTAACAACCTGCAATACTCAGATGACATGACTTTGCTTGCTGAAAGTGAAAATGACTTGAATCACTTACTGATGAAGATCAAAGACTACAGTCTTCAGTAGGAATTACATCTCAATATAAAGAAAACAAAAGTCCTCACAACTGGATCAATAAGCAACATCATGATAAATGGAGAAAAGATTGAAGTTGTTAAGGATTTCACGCTACTCAGATCCACCATCAGTACTCACAGTAGCAGCAGTCAAGAAACCAAACAACATATTGCACTGGGATCTGGCAAATCTTCTGCAAAAGATTTCTTTAAAATGTTCAAAAATCAAAGATGTCACTTTGAAGACTAAGGAACGCCTGACTCAAGCCATGGTATTTTCATCAATCATATGCATGTGAAAGCTCAACAATGACTAAGGAAGACTGAAGAAGAGTTGACACCTTCGAATTATGGTTTTGAAGAAGAATACTGAACACACTGCCAAGCGAACAAACCTGTCTTGGAAGAAGCATGGCCAGAATGCTCCTTAGAAGTGAGCATGGTGAGCACTGTGTCAGTTACTTTGTCATGTGTCAGGAGGGACCAGTCCCTGGAGAAGGACATCAAGCTTAGTGAAGTAGGAGGTAAGTGGAAAAGAGGAAGACCTTCAAGGAGGTAGATTGACGCAGCGGCTGCCACAGTGGATTCAACAACAGCAAGGATTATGAGGATGGCGCAGGACCTGGCAGTGTTTCGTTCTGCTGTTTGGAGGGTTGCTATGAGTGGGAAGAGACTCAATGGCACCTAACAATGCAGCAAGTTTGAAATTGGGGAGTGGGAGTCCTCTAAGTTTGCTCCTGATGCTGTTGTACGCACACGTCTCCCAGGCCACCAGGGAGATGTGGGGACTCACCGCAATCCATACAGGTGTCTCATTCTCTAGATCTGTTAAATTTCTGACCAACCTTTTGGTTCGTTGACTACCAATCATGATCCCGAGCTCAGCCCAGCAGTGACGCTGGCTTTCTCCATTGGTTCACTGCTGGGTCACTGCATTTCCAACAACATCCACAAGTCTGGCATTTTTCCATGCCCTCCTCCAAGTCAAGTCAGGCCCCACCAGCAGCAAAGCTGCTGTTCTTCCAGATGTTACCCGCCAACGTGAGGTCACACTGGAGGAAGGTGCTCCTAATCCCATCTGAGTGGTGTCTTATAAAAGGGGAGACCAGACCCATAGAGCAACAGACGGAAAGGATGGCCATGATGATGGAGGCAGATACAAGAGCACCAAGGACTTCCAGCTGCCACCAATGCCAGGAGAGGCACGGAACAAATTCTCCCATAGCCCCCACAAGGAATCAATGGGGCTGACCCCTGACCTGGGTAACTACCCTCCTGAACCGTGAGGCAGTGCGTTTCTGTTCCGGACAGCCACCCGCCTGGGGTATTTTATTAAGTCAGCCTTGGGAGACTGAGACAGATCCTGCAATTTATTTAACTGGTTCTCCTTTGAGAGGTATTGTTTCTAATTTACTCCTTTTGCAAACAATGCTACAGAGAACAACCTGGTCTGTGGGCTTTACAGCATCTATATGAGGGTATTTGTGGACAAGCTCTAGGAGTGGAACTGCTGGATCAAGGGACATCAAACCAACCAACAAACCCACGGTCTCTGAGTGGATCCCAACTCACAGCGCCCCTAGAGGACAGAGTGGAACTGCCCCACAGGGTCTCCAAGGCTGTCAGTCTTCACATAAGCAAAGCCCAAACCACACCCACTGCCCTGGAGTCGATTCCAACCCACAGCGCCCCTAGAGGACAGAGTGGAACTGCCCCCAGGGTCTCCAAGGCTGTCAGTCTTCATGGAAGCAGAGCCCAAACCACACCCACTGCCGTGGAGTCGATTCTGACCCACAGCGCCCCTAGAGGACAGAGTGGAACTGCACCACGGGTCTCCAAGGCTGTCAGTCTTCAAGGAAGCAAAGCCCAAACCACACCCACTGCTGTGGAGTCCATTCTGACCCACAGCGCCCCTAGAGGACAGAGTGGAACTGCCCCACAGGGTTTCCAAGGCTGTCGATCTTTAGGAAGCAGGCAGCTGGTGGCTTCAAACCACTGACCTTTTGGTTAGCAGCTGTGCCACCAGAGTTCCTCTGAAAGGCCATACGCATTTGTAATCGCGACAGCTTTCAAACTGCCCTCCATAAAGGTTATGCTGACTGACTCCACCATCAACGGTGTGCCTTCCCAATGCCTGCCGGCTCACGTGTTACTCAGTGTCTACTCTCAGCCGGTCTAAGGCGGAAAGGAGATCCTGGTGTCCCTTCAATCTGCATTTCTCCCATGACGGATGAGTCGCGGGTGGGTCCTGCCGCCCGTGGTGGCTCACAGGCCCGGCTTCCTCTGCCCTCTCAGCCTCCTCCATGAGCTCAGCTGTCCGGAGCAGGCTTCTGGGCTTCCTGCTCGTTTCTCCCTTTCCCCCTGGCCGCTGCTTGCTCTTGGCTACCCTGGAGTTGAACTTTGGGAATGTGTATCAGATGGGAGTGTACAGAGAGATGGAACTGTGGAGAAAAGCCAAGAGCCAAGACACACACAAAAGGCCCGGCCACGGGTGGCCTCCAGAGCCGAGAGGGATAAGAGAGGGAGGCCTACCGGGGGCTGGGGCTGTCCCTGCTGCCCTTCCAGTTTCTGGAAAGGCCAGATGCCAAGGCCCTCCTCAGTCCTCAGGGTTGCAAGACTTCCCTGGGTTTGCCACCCAGATGAGCAGCAGTTTCTGAGAACCAGAGCTACATGCAGCCGTGACTCCACATGGCAGGCAAGTCACGCTGGGAGAACGACCTGTGATGTTTGTCTCCTCTGATTCGCCATAAGGAGAAGGGAGGGAGGAAGGGAAGAGGAGGAAGAGGGAAGCAGGGAGGGGCGGAAAGGAAGGACAACACAAAGCCTCCCTTGAGGCCTGGAGAAAGATCCTGAAGAGGCTGGAAGCGGCCCCTTCCCTTCAGCTGTTCCCAGAAGGCTGAGCTGTGACATAGGTGCTCTGGGAAATGACAATGTTCACAGCCTCAGGTGCGGTGCCAACCCGGCCCTGGTGAGTGACACCTGTCGTCCTGATGGTGGTCAGCCTGCCTACTGGGGCTCTGACACTCTCTTCACACCCAGCCGCCCTGCCAGCGCACCCACCACGGCTGCCAACGCCGCCGCCACATGCACTATGTGCCGTGGTCCCCTCCTGCAGCCCCGTGAGATCTGCACCAGCCTCCCCTCACGGGTGAGCACTCGGGGGTGGTGGTGGTGGAGAGGTGATGTGACTTGCCCCTAGTCACACCCATTCCACTGGAGGCAGTGGGATGGGTGCCCAGGCCCATATAGCACGGTGTTGGGACCCTCCTAACCACTGTCCTGAGTGGACAGAATGATGATGCTGCCCCCAGATGACACTGGTCGACCCAGAGCATAGTGGGAGCGGAGATGCCGCTCATCGGGGATAGGAGGCTGCGGCCCCGAGACGCACCTTGTGCACAAGGCCTACAGGCTCACCCTCCGGGTCCTTGCTCCAGCAGGGCCCAGTTATGCAGCTCACTGGGCCTCCACCAACAGGCAGCAGGACGGGCTCCCAGCCGCAGCTCCTACCAACAGGCTGGGTCTCCAGTCTCTCCTTGGAGGAGGTGACCAGCATGCTGGAGAGTGCGCTAGGCCTGCTGCGTGCCTAGGCCTCGGTTTCCCCACCAGTCCCTCCCAGCTCAGACACTCCTTGGCCGCCTCTCCAGTGTCGTCCTCCAGCCCCCACCCCCCAACAGGCCAGGCCTGGAGCTGACTTCACACCCCCGCCAGGCCTGGCCTGTCCCCATCTCAGGGAACACTGCTGTGTGGGTTGCCAGCCTTTTGGCATCCAGGGTGGAGGGACAGCTCTCCAACGCTCTTGAAAACATAGGCTCCCTCCCTCACCTGAGAGGAAGGGTGCCATCGGCACCTGTGACACAGGGGATTAAAGAGTGTGCCTGCCGGCGGTCTGGGACCACAGTGATCCAAGAGCCCCGAGGAGCTCCTATGTGCTGGATCTGTCCCCGTGGGGTCCTAGAACCCAGTGCTAAAAGGATAGGAGCAGAGGGACACTTGTACGCTTTTCTGGCTTTTTGAAGAGTGTGTCCTCCTTGTTAGTGTTTAGAAATATCACATACGGTTTATGGGCAAACAAACATATGTGTGGGGACACTCAGCATGCCTCTTTCTTCAGAGGACTCCAACCCCGTTCTCCCCGAGTCTCCCCCTCTACTATCTTTCAGGAAAATTCAAGAGCCAGCCCAGGCTGAGGTCACAGCTCTTGGACCTCGGGCTGCGTCTTGCATTTCACCTAGCCTCAGTTTCCACATCTGTGAAAGGGCACCTACTTCCCAGGGAGGAGCTCTGGTGGCGCGGTGCCTGAGGCACTTGACTGCTAACCAGAAGGCTGGCGGTTCAAAGCCACCAGCCACCCCTCAGAAGGAAGACTGGGCAATCTACTTCTGTAGTGATACTGCCTCGGAAAGCCAGGGAGGGGTCGCTATGACTCGGAGATGACTCGATGGCAGTGAGTCAAGAGTCGATGAACTTATCAACGGGTGTCGGGCACAGCACCTGTTACTCAGCAGGCCCTCGCTCCCTCTCAGCCCAGCTGTGAGTGCTGCTGTAAGTAATGGTAGTATCAGGTGTAACGCTGAACCAGTCAGCCCCTTTCTCATCAGGGACATGAGGATGGGTGGCGTCCTCTGAGGCCAGCCTGGTGCTGGCACGCGGTGCACACAGTGACGAAGGGCTTATCCCCATGCAGCCTGAGCCCGAGGGCACCGTCAGAGCTCCACATCTTAGGTGTGCAATAGACAGTGTTCCAGTGAGACATTTCAGAACAGCGTGGACAGTGTGGCTTTCACATGAGTGTGGCTAACCCAAACCCACTGCCAACAAGTTGATTGTGACTCATAGTGACTCTAGAGGACAGAGCAGAACTGCCCCACAGGGTTCCCAAGGCTGTCAATCTTTGTGGAAGCAGAATGCCTCATCTTTCTTCCATGGAGTGGCTGGTGGGTTCAAACAGCCCACCTTTTGGTTAGAAGCCAGGATGCTTTACCCACTGTGCCCCCAGGACTCCTCTGAGTATGGACACACACAGGGAAAGGAGCCTGGAAGTTGTCAGTGGGCTGTTCACCGAGGGCATCAGGGCAGTGGACAGGGAGCCTACGGGACCACTTCTCCTCTAGACGTCCTCCTCAGGTAACAAGCATACACCTCCTTACAACAAACGTTCTTTAAGTTAGAAACAAGCAAGTTTGCGCCATCAGCTTCACCCCAACCCCCTCTCGGGAAGGCTCTGTGTCCCAGCCCAGTGATATGCTGATTCTAAGCCTGGAACCTGGAGCAGATGGCTGGGGTTCAAGTGCCAGCCCTGCCCCTTGCTGGCTAGGTGACAAGACACTTAACCTCTCTGCACCTCCCTTTCCTTACTGATAAAATGAGGGCAAGGACAGTCCCTGTTCACAGGGCTGTTGTGTGTGGGGAACAGGTGGAGGGAGGGGAAACCCTGTTTTCCACCAGTGGCTCCTCTGCATGGAGGCCTCGGCCCAGTCCCCTGGGCACATGTGCAGTGCTCATTGGATCCGGAGATAACAGCTTCTCAGAGTTTCCAGACACGTGGAGAGACTGTCAACCCCTGGGATTGCCTGGACCTGCACTGCCCAGTGTGGCAGCCACAGCCACACGGGCTACTGAGCCCCTGGAACGTGGCTTCTCCAGACCAAGATGTGCTGCAGGTGTGAAGACACACACTGGGTTTCACAGATTTAAAAAAAGAAGGTAAAATTTCTCATTCAGATTTTTTCCCATTGATTATGTATTGAAATACTATTTGAGAAGTACTGGCTTTAGTGAATATTTTCTGAAATTTCCTGTTTCTTTTCCCTTTGGCAACTAGAAACTTCAGAATGGCGTATGTGGCCCGTGTTAGATTTCTACGGGACATGGTGCACTTGACTGTAAGCACGGCAGGGGAGGTACACAGTAGTCGCCCCATAAATGTTCATGGAAATGAGTTCACTGTTCAGATGAAAGTCTGCCCAAGTATACTTCAGTACGTAGGTGTAATTTTTAAAACACAAGTGACCAACAAGGTTATGTCACTGTTGGTATATTTCCCAACCTCCTTATGAAATCTGTCTTTAAAAAATCAGCCTGGTCTAAGAAAAAAGCCTGAACCGACACTCAGGCAGGTACCCGGCTGCTTCCTGGGAACATCCTGACAGGCCCCAGATGAAGGGTTCTCCTGACACCTCCTCCCTCCTTCGCCATCCCGGGTGGCGTGAGAGTGGGAGCCTGTCCTCATACGCTGGCTCAGATCCACATGGCCACCTTTCAACATTCACAGGACATCCTCTTCTAGAGCAAGGCCATTGCTAAGCCAAAGCCACCACGAAAGCAGAACCAACTCTGGGCCACATGTGCTGAGAATCCTGTCCAGCAGGATGGGTTGGTTTGTTTGCGTAAAGGAGTCCCTAAATTTAAAATGCAGTTTGCTGAGAACCGGTCACAGTTAGCCTAGTGCCCAGCGCTCCCTTGGGGGAAGTCGGTGCCCAATCAGGGTCCCAGTGGCCGTTTGGGACAGAGCTGCCCTCTGACCCCAGGCCCCATTCCCACAGTCTCCTAATGGGAACAGGCTCCCAGGAAGCTTCTCAGCAGGGAAGTGTGCCAAAGCCCTTCTACATGAGGGAGAGGACACGCACAGCACACGACGCCTTGGAATACTCACTGTCATCCACTTTACGGGAGAGACTGAGGCTGAGAGAGACTGTGACAGCCCAAGGTCACCCAGCTGGCACACAGTGGAACAGGTCCCAAATGCCATCAGGTGTGTGTGCCCTCTCGGCCCAGCCTGGGTATGGCCTCAGGCTCACTCCTTTTCTCCCCCCGGGCACAGACTGTACTTGCTCCTCGCACTTGGCCATCTCTGCACCCGCAGGCCCCAGCGCAGGGCGTCAGAAACAGTTAAAGGGCAGCTCTCGTAAAAACGCATCAGAATCGTGCACGGCGCTGCCTGTGGTCATCCCCGCCTCATCCTCACAATAGTGGCTCTCACACCTGAGCTGCCTCAGGGCCCCCAGAGGGCCTGCGAAACACAGACAGCCGGGCCCACCCAGAGTGTTAGATTCCATAGGTCTCTGGTGGCGTACTGCCCAAGGCATCTGACTGCTAACCAGAAGGCTGGCAGTTCAAACCCACCAGCCACTCCTCAGAAGGAAGACTGGGCAATCTACTTCTGTGGAGATATCGCCTCAGAAACCCAAGGAGGGGTCACTATGAGTTGGATCCAACAACAGCAATGAGTCTGGTTTGGTTTTCTTTGGGCGAAGGGGTGCCTGAGAACCTGCATTTATAACGAGTTCCCAGTTGACCCAAATGCTGCTGGTGCAGAGACCCCACGTTGACAACGGTGCCTTATCCCCACCCTGTGAGACGGCCAACAGCATTTCCCCTTCAAAGATGAGGAAACTGAGGCATAAGGTGGGTGACGGCTTGTCCAAGCTCCGTCACAGATTCCACACTCAGGACAGAGCCAGAGAAGGGAGGAATGCTGGTCTCACCAGCCACAGTGAAGAACCAGGAACTGTTAGTCACTGACAGCCCCCTGGAGCTCCCCAGTGCAGCTCCACTGTGACACGTGGGTGCACTATGAGTCGGAGGGGACTCCAGGGCCACTGATGGTAATGGCGCTGGCCGGGGAGGGGCTGCCTGGAGACCCAGTCAGCAGGCTAATGACAGAGGCGACTCAGGTCCCACGGGAATAGAGAAAGAAGGACAGGCCCATGGGGGGGCGGGAGAGGGAGAGAAGCTGCCTCGGGGGCTCCTCTGGGTCCCCAGTCCCCCATCACCCACGGGTGCACCATGAGGTCACCGACCTCCAGCCCACAGTGGGGCCGCAGGGATGTTCTCAAGGATAAGGTGGCCCAGAGGGCAAAGCCCAGCCTGGCGCTTCTCGGGAAGGCAGCTCTCTTGAAAGGGGGTGAATGGGCGTCCAGGCTGTCTTTCCATTCTGGCCAGGAAATTCCACCGAATCAGCTGCTTCACTTCCCGCCCATTAAATCAGTGGAATTTCCCTTCACTACGCTTTTCCCAAACCAAGGTTGCGAATGTTGGAGAGAAGAACGCAAAAGCCACGGACCGGAGGGTGGAGCGGGTGGCCGAGGCGCTGGGCGGGCGGCCCTGGGAAGCCATGCTTGCAGTCTGGGCACCCTTAGACTCTGTAGCGTCCTCATACCCCACGTGCAGAATGGCTCAGGGGCCGGCAGGGCAGGACGGGGGTCCCACCAGCCATTCAGCCCGAGGCTTCAGGGGCCTTGGACATCCTGTGTCCCTCATCTCACCTCCCTTCTCTAAAGAGGGCCCCTCAAGTCAAAGCCTTCAGGCCTCCGTGACCGGCTCTGACCTTGGGGGGGTGGTGGTAATCACTCTCATTTTACAGATCAAGGCACTGAGACACTGGAAGGCAGGGCCTCGTTTGGCCACAGATCCTGGTCCTCTGGGCCCACAGGACAATGACAACACTTGAGAGTGTGAGCAGCATGGGCCAGGAATGGACTGGCATTCCAAACCAGGGCAGGGCATTTTCAGAACAATGTTCTGAAAAGGCACACCCAAAGCCCTAGAAGTCTAAACAGCCCCTCACACAGAAATTTCACTTCTAGGGGTTTCAGACAACAATCACAGGTGTGTATACACATTGCCTGTAAGGCCACTCAGCTGGGAAACAATGATCCACCAAAGGACGGAAATGAACCGAAACAGCCAGCGGTCACACCAAGGGCCACACATCGTCCCACGCAATTCTGTCTGTGCAAGTGGCATCGTGGGAGCAGACTTTAGAGCCAACAGGATGCCTCTGTGATATGTGAGTGAGAACACAGAGCAGTGAGCACTCGCCTCATTTAGGGACCATTGCTACAGTCAGGGAGCAGGTGGGCACGACCGCATTAACCCTCCAGCAGCAACCCTGTGCAGTGGGGCAGTTCTTATCCCCATATCACAGATGAGAAAAGCAAGGCCCTGAGAACTTGCTCAAGGTTGCACAGCTTGTAAGAGGCTTGTAAGAACCTTGTCCGGGTCTGTTGGACTCTCAACTTGCTCTCTGCACTCATTTATGTAGTCACTATAATTTCATCCTATTTGTTTTTGTTAAAATTTAAAAAAGGAAAGGAAGGAAGAAAAAGAAAAAGGGCACCCAGCGGAATTCTGGCGGTGGTCCCTGGCAGATGGTTGCAGATGGTGTTTTTGTTTGTGTTTACCTAATGCTTCTCAGTTTTCTACAGAAACGTGTCCGTAATGGAAAGGGCAAAGGCCTCATCTTAGGCTTCCTGGTCAGCTAGAGACTGGTGGGACCTCCGAGATTGTGGCCTCAGTCACCCTTCAGGCCTGGACTGAACTCACCCCAGTGGCTCAACTTTCAGACAAACGATAGGCCTATATGGTGAACGGTAACACGAGGAAAGGGCACACTCCTTAGGAGACCAAAAGGGCCGCATTTGCCCCAGGACAAAGCTCCTAAGGCAGGAAGGGCTAGGAAAAGAGGACTGGAAATGGGAAAGACTGGGAGGAAGTGGGACATGGGATGGTACGCTGTGGGGACTGCAGTCAATGACACGAAACAAGATGTGTATGAATTGTTGGATGGAAAACTGATATGCTCTATAAATCCTCCCCCAAATCACAATAAAAAGTTAAAAAAACCCAACACAACTTGTGAACTAAGTCATGAAGTACAGCTACACCACCCCCATCTGAACCACCCAGCTAAGCTGATTCCAGATTTCTAGCCCTCGGAAATTGTGTGAGATAATAAACGTTTGTTGTTCTAAAAAAGAAAAAGTTCCCATTTTGAAGAAAGGAAGAGACAGAGAACAGGTGTCCTGGTCACCCCCACTTACATCTGCCTATCTTATTGTAAAGGGAACACCACTGCCCCCAACCCCCAGGTCCCTGAGGGGCGCACTGGCTGCCCTGGGTGCCCAGAGTCAGACCTGCCCTACCTTTCTGACTGGACACCATTCCTGAGCGAGCCTGCATAGTTGTTCTTCTTGTCCACGGGCATCAGGTCCACGTAGCCCCCACTCTCGTCCCTGATGACGCCCGCGTGCACCGCTGTCCTGCAGATGCTGGAGGTCTGTGAGGAGAGAGACAGGGCTTCAGTCAGTGTCAGCCCTGATGGGGCCTCCTGGGCAGTAGGGTGTGGGCCACATCAGCCCCAGGAGGAACCACGGGTTCTGGGCTGGGCTAACCACACCAGGTGGTAGTGTGTGGGCCACGGGAGCCCCCTGGGTACTGGGCTGGCCTGAACCGTGTCCTCCAAGAAGACATGGCCATGTCCCTGTGCCTGTGGATGGCACTGTACCTAGGGAAGGACTTCTCTCAATGGGATTAATGCACCGATCTCCAGGGGGATTGGGGCGGGCCCCAACTGCCAGGGTCAGAGACTTCATAGGAGAGGCACAGAGGGAGGGTCAAGGCTGACACTCAGAGGAAGACCAGTGAAGATGTGCAAAAAGACTGGACCTGTTTAGTCCCTGAGTTTGATGGGAGGGCAGGAAAGAAGGACGGATGGATACAGGGAACCCAGGGACGAAGGGGAAAGAGACTATTACATTGAGGGGCTGCAGCCAGTGTCGTGAAAAAACACTATGTATGAATTGTTGAATGGAAAACTAATTTGCTCTATCAATTTTCACCCAAACTGCAATAAAAAGTTAAATAAACACAAGTGTGTTGGTTATCTCTGGGTGTGACAAATGGTTAATGTGCCCCCCACCAAGTGAAAAGTTACAAGTCAAGAGAGCTGCCTGGGAAGAAAGCCCTGGCTGGACATTGAAAACTCTCCTCTGACTTCCTCAGGGCCACTATGAGTCAGGGGTGACTCGGCAACTGGTAGTTTAAGTCCAGGGACTTGAAATGACACAGGAAACAGAACCACAGGGGATGTGCTCCGCTGACAGTCTGACCACGTGCTCGCCCAGGCCTCTTCAGTAACCAACGGCACAGGACAGGCGTCCTTGGGCCAGCCTGTGAGGGCTTGCGTAGGCTGACACCACAGCAGACCTGGGGCCAACTGCAGGCTCCGTGCGGGAATCACCTGGGAAGTCCTCGGGCCCAGGACACGGGACGGTGGTCACCTGTCTGCACCAGGAAGCCTCCTCTTGGAGAAAGGGTCCACCCTTCCAATCTTGAAGGGGTGCGTGTCCCTAGAGGTTAGGGGGCAGTGGCTTTGTGTCCATTTCAAGAAGCAGACAGCCTGGCTAACGGCCACCTCAGGATTCCTCTCAGGTCGCTGTGAGTGTCTACACAGACACCGACTGTCCATACAGACGAGGCCAGGATCGGTCCCCGTGGGGGACGGGGACATCTGGCCAGCCCCTCTGGGACAGCCCTCCGTCCTCTCCTCAAGGGTTTGCAGACATCAGGGAAGCAGAAGCTCTCTGTGACATCACCGTGGGCCATAGTCTAAGAACCTCAGAGCAGCCAGATCTTTCTCACGAGACAGGGCCAGTTATCAGTGCGCACTTGGGACCCCGGTGCTGGCCGGCGTGAGTTCCTCTTTCTCCCTTCCTTCCGCCCACACCTCTCCTCCTGCCAAGCTCCTGCAGAAGGTACAAGGTGTCTGCTGGGGAATTACCAACACCCAATGTCAGCAAGAGCAGTGATGGGGCCCAGGGTCTGGCCTCAGAGAAGCTGGAAGCCACTTCCGCCTCCACCACTGACCTGCTGCCTGTGACCTACTTTAAGCCCTGACCCTGTTTTCTCAGCATCTGGTGGGGACTCACGCAGTAACTCCGTGCAGCAGTGCCCACACCAGACCCTGCTGTGTTTCATGCGTACAATGCACACCCGCTGCGCGTCCTGGAGCCCTGATGTGCGTCGGAGTCGAGTCAGGCCCCGTGGGGTCGCAGTGGCTGACATTTTGGAAGCGGATCCCCAGGCTTCTCTTCCAGGCCACTCTGTGTGGACACGACCCTCCAACCTTCTGGTTAGAGCCCAGGGCTTAACCACGTTCACCACCAGGGACCCCACTGGCACCGTAACCTCCCAGCAAGCCAACAAGATGGCAATTACTGTTCTCTCTTAACAGATGGACAAACTGGGGTTCAAGGTGCCTAAATGACTTGCCCAGAGGCATGCTGGTTAACAGCAGAGCCAGGCCACCACCCTTCAGAGCCTGCAAGCTGTATGCTACTGTATACCGGGTAATAAGGAGCTCTGGTAGCGTAGTGCCTAAGGCACCTGACTGCTAACCAGAAGGCTGCCGGTTCAAACCCACCAGCCGCTCCTCGGAAGGAAGGCTGGGCAATCTACTTCCGTAGAGATACTGCCTCAGAAACCCAAGGAGGGGTTGTTATGAGTCGGGCCTGACTCGATGGCACATAACACCACCACCACCATCAACACTGGGTAATAAGAGGGAAACCCTCCAAGGGCCACCGTAAGGACGAAGGAGACAAAGGGCCTTGGCAGGCTAGCAAAGAGCAAAGCGGAAAAAACAAAAAACAAAAAACCTCACCGCTGTCGAATCCATCCCAACTCACAGCAACCTCTCCTTGGGTTTCCGAGGCAGTATCTCTAGGGAAGTAGGTTGCCCAGCCTTTCTTCCGAGGAGCGGCTGGTGGATTCGAACCTTCAGCCTTCTAGTTAGCAGGCAGATCCCAGAGTTCCCGGCCAACAACGAGTGCTCCACAAATGTTCATTAGTAAGACCAGTGCCACTGCCCTGTCCCGGCATCAGCAGTTCTCCAGGGACTTTCATCGTGACCCCAGTGGCCCTTCAAGTGGGCCCTGAACCAGCAGCACCAGCGCCTCAGCCCCTCCCCAGACCCACTGAATGCAAGAGCTGGGGGAGGGCCGGGAATCGGCGTGAACAGCCCTCCACAGCATGAGAGCTCACCCACCACAACAAAGTGGCCGCCCCGATAAGCAAGTGAGGCTGAGAGTGGGGAAGGCCAAGTCCGACAGCCCCCAACCAGTGGGTGCCATGGCTGCGGTGGACAACCAGGACGCCGGGCCCAGGCTTTGCTCTTGGGGCCCCACCCTGATGCATCTCCTGCTTGCTGCTGACAAGTGGGGTCTCCCCAGAGTGAGGGGTGTGCCAAGTCGTGGCCTCCTGGGGAATAGGCCGCATGGTGAGTACTGTTAGGTCCTCCATGGTCTGCACAGACTCTCCTAAAATAACTCAGCTAAACACACTTCCCAGAAGCCTCACCACTGCCCAGAGGGCAGAGAGAACTAGAGACTAAGGCCAGAGAAGA